TCCGGGATCTCCGCGTGGCGGCGGCGCAGGGCCGGGCGGTGGGGCCGCGCCAGGGGGGGTCCAGGCGGGCGGGCGGGCCTCCGCGTGGGAACCTGTCGGGACAAGTGGGGTGCGGGCCACCGCAGCAGGGTGGCGTGGGCAAGGCCAGTCCTTGCGACTAGCCTTCAGAGCGGACCCTGCTGCTTGCTCTTCTCCAAATACCGCTCAGCATTTTTAAAAAAAGATGCCTTCATTGACACTTCTCCACTCACGCGTCACTTCACGTGTCCTGCAGGGATAACACTAGAGCAAACGTGCCCTTGGAAGCCCCCTCCTTCTTTGTGCAGAATATAACCACCCCTCCCCCCCAGTGCCGGGATTTTTGACAGTTCAAATTGCACTGGACCATTACATTTACTTTGTTTCGAAAACGTTTCACCCACACTTTCCGTTTATAGGCTACATTTTGAGAATGTATTTGTCCCCAAACAGATTGTAATTTAACTGGATTGTCCTGCATGAGGATAACTAGAATTGTAGATGAGTGAAAAATTGCATTTCAAAATATTAAACTTAATAGTCGACAGCTCTGTGTAGTATGTATTTGCGAGAAAAGTTTAATACTGGGATGATGCCTAAGAAACTTGATTGTGACTTGTCTAAGGAAAAAAGTTAAACTGAATGACAAAATTAACCTATTATAATTTAAAAAAATGCCTGTGCATTTTAGCATTCATGTTTTAGTTCATAATAATGCCAAATTCCCTATGAACCTTGTGCACACCTCATGTATTTCTGGTGCGCTAAGTATGCTGGATTAAAAGTACCTTAATTTATTTAGTGTTTTTTACTTCCCAACTACGAGACTTAATAATTATCAAACCATCTTAAGTAAATGTCGTCCAATGCCAAGATACATTTTATATGCATGGTTAGTTTTTATGCACACAGCCTCAGTGGGACGTTATATATATACACAAACATATTGCTCGTGACCTGATATCCATTAGATTTTATAAAGGGGAATTACTATCTCAGAATGAAAATAAAAATTGCATTATTTAATGCAGGATTGGAAGCTTAGCATGTTAGCGTCCTTTCAAATTTAGGTAGTTGATGGATGATCTTTGCTGTGATGATCACATTCAGGTATTTTTATAGGCATGTTTCCTCCTTTACATGACATCAGTTTTGGTTACAAGCTCACCATTATTAACTTTTCCATTTTTTATGATTCCCATTCAGGTGTTTTGAGCTTTCCTAAGCACAAAAAAATTAGAGGTAGGATTCCCTCGGGAATTTTAGGGGGGTCAACCCTAGCAGGAAAAATCTAGACGTCTTAATGGAAGCCCCAGGGAACAAAATAATTCAAGCTTGCACAGATGGCCAGCCGTCTTGGTGGGAGAACGATCGTTTAGCATTTTTATTCCTTAAAAGGGGAAAACAGTTTGGTTCAATTCTAGAAATTGTCTGCATCTAAATTTCATTATAACTCTCAAGTTCGGGTGACATCTTAAGGCAATCTTTCTTTTATAAGTTTTTCAGGGTGAGCATGTGGGATTTCTGAGCCCCAAAGTGCTGCCATTTTTTTAGGTCTAGCCCGAAAAACCTTTTTACGTTGGTCCAACCCGATTTCTCGTCCATAAATTTCTACTTCCTTGCTTCCTCTCTTGCTTTCTAGCAGACGGGGTCAAGCCCTGGTTCACGGTAATTACTCCTGCTTACCCTTTCCTTCCGCCGGGTCGGCGGCCCAGCCAGGAACACCGCTGGGGTCCCCAAGTCCCCTCCCCACGGTGCCTTGAGCTGTCAGACGGGGAGGCAGGGGTTAACTGCGCTCGCAGCTGCAGCTCTGGGAACCACCCGCGGGCTTTGGAGCGGCCTCTGGAATAACCTTGGCTTTCCTCGCTCTTTTAATAGAACATCCGCCACAAAAAGTGGTTTCAGTTCAGGGTTAAGAATATGGCCCCATCCACCCTCCTAACCAACACCCCGCCCCCCTCCCGGGCTTTTTAAAGTTGTTTTTCAAAGTTAATGAGTTTCAAGTTTCACAATGACTTTCCTCTTCCCTCCCCGCGTTGCTGAGGAAACCCCCTTGGGGTCCCCCCCCCCGCACCGGCCCTCCCTTCTCCGCTCCCCTCCCCCATCCGCCCAGTGGGGGCGGGGCTGGGAGACCCCATGACGTCACCAGGCCGGCCCACATCCTGCTTTAGAAAGTAAAGACGGTAACGAGAAGCCGCGGCCCCGCCCGTCCCCGCCCCTCTTCCCGGACCAACCGCCCCCAACTGCGCGACCCGGCCAGGCGGGGCCGCGTGACCTGCCGGGCCCGCCCTTCACCCCCCGCGGGGCGCCAGTCCCGAAGCCAGCACGACCCTAGCCCGCTCTGTCCCTAACCTCGCCCCTCCTCCGGGCCGGCGTCCCTGCTTCCGCCCCCGCCCCCTCGCGGCCGGGCGGGGCGGAGCTGCAGGAGGTTGGCCCGGGGGAGGTGCGGCCGGGCCCGCCCCACCGGGGAGACCCGGGACTCGGCTCCACGCAAGTGTGAGGCCGGCCTGCCCCGGGGGAGGGCTGGCGGCCGGGCCCGCCCGCTGGGTCCTCGCGCCCCGGGCGTCCCCGGCCCCTCCCCCGGCCCAGCCGAGCCCTGGCCTCGGACTCCTCTGGAGACGCCCCCTCCCCCCTGCTGCCGCCAGTGGCCTCCCCGCCTCCCGCCCCCGGGGATCCCCTGCCGCCCCGCCCACCCGCGGGAAAGCCTCCGACCTTCGGCCTCCCTTCCCCTGGCCGACCGGCAGCCTCCTCCCGCCGCCCCTAAAGAGGCAAAACGTGCCCTTCTCTGCCCCGGGGGAGAGGTAAAGCCCGCACCCGCCTGCCCTTCTCTCCCGGGAGCGCGGGCCCGGACCTCCCGCGATCTCGCCGCCGACCCCACCGCGCAGCGCCCCGCATCGCCCGGCTGCCCGACGCCCCCTCTCCCGTGGCGGCCGCCGGGACCATGCTGCGGCTCGGGACGCGGGCGAGCTGCGAGTGCGGCCTCCCCCTCCCGGCGCGCTTCGGCCCCCGCCCGCGCGCCCCGCCGAGCCCCTCCCCGCCCCCGGCCCGCTCCCCTGTTTAATATTTCAGGCTGGGTGGTTGGAGCGCCAGTCGCCGGCCTTTAGTGGAGCTGCTGCTGGGCGGCGGCGGCGGGAGGAGGGAAGAGCCGGGAGCTGGGGGAGCTGGAGGAGGAGGAGGTTATGTTTGTGTTTGAGGTTGTCAAGTGAAGGAGGGATCCCAGGCGCCGCCGCCGCCGCCGCTGCCGTGCGGGGGTCGCGGAGATTCCGAGCTGCGGCCGCCGCCATCAGCAGCGCAGCCTCAGCGCCGGTGCAGTGGCAGCGGCTCCGCTGGGCGTTCTGGCCCCAGGTTCGACGCGGGCTCCGCGACGGGGGTGCTGCAGCGGGGCGGGCGGCGGGCACGAGAGTGGATGTGTGCGCCCGTGTGCCAGCGCCGACCTTGCAGAGGGGCTCGCTGCGTGGAGGGGCGCGTCCCACTTCTGGGCGCCCTCGCCTAGCACGCGCGGCCGGGGATGCGGTCTTACGGGCTGAGCAGGTACGGAGGGGCCCAGCCTCCCCGCCTGCGTTGTTCCAGCTGCAGACGCATTTTGCACGGGGATGGGGGTGCGGGCGAGCAGGCCTCGGCTTCCCAATCTCCCGGCTTTGTGGCTTGCTTTCCCTTTCGTTCTGCTTTCTGAGTGCCTGTTTACTCCGGGCCACCTGGGTAGTTCCATTCCGGGTTGGGAGGGAGCGCCCAGAGCAGTTGGGGAAAGGGGTGGTGGGCTCGGGTCAGTAGACTCAGGCTCGCCTAGGGTCGGGCTCGGGAAGGAGTTGCTGGCTGGAGAGGGGAGGGGGCAGCGGGGCAGCTGGTGGCGAGGAGGAGTCCTGGGGTTGCTGCGCTCGCCTACTCGCGCCTTCCTCTCCTCCTCCTGCTCGCCGCATCCACTCCAGGCTCCTTCCTGAGCTGGCACTTCCATTCCCCCCTCCTCCTGGCATGCTAAGCGCTTTGTTCAGTGCGGCGTTGCAGAGGGGTTTTCCCAGGCTCCGCCCTCCACATTCATTCATGTTTTTTCTCCTTGCTTTTTGATCGTGTCATGTCTTTGCTGCATGTAGTATTTTTTTCTTCCCTGTAAAGGAACGTTTTGCCATTCCTCTTGGTCGCTGTAAGGCTGCTGTCTTTGCAAATGTCCACTTCCCCTCCAGGGATTTAAACATGGAATGGACTGCTAACCTACAGTGGAGGAGGCAGTAAAAGGACTGTAGGAAGCAGTTACGGATTTGAAATGTGTGTCTTTTACATTTATACTCAAATTGTATAAAATCACATGACTGGGTTACAATCAGAGTTTACGCTTTAAAAACTTATAAAAACCAAGACAATTTTAAAGCTATAGACTTAACATAGAACATAGTAAAACATGCATACATACAAATTAGAAATGCCCAAGCGTTTCTGAATTCACTGTTAAGTCAAAAGCTTTGTGATATATGCTGCTTTAGTGCAGAGTTGTGCACAGTGTTAGTTGAAATAATATAGTATTGGATCATTTACCTCTTCCCTCAGGCTATTCTCTCCCCCCCCCCCCCTGTTCTTTGCTGTGTACCATCAAATCAGATCCAACCAGCACAGGAGGAGATTGCCCCCCCCCCAGTACAAAAACTGTAAATTGCTAAAACTTTATACCAAAACATTAGGCATTCTTTCCCAGATAGGCTTTCATAAAGAGAGTTAATATTTGAGCATTTTTTTTTTTTTTTGGTGCCAGGCAGTGGGCAACACCTATACATTGTTTAATCCTTAAATCGCCTATAAGGCAGCTTTGATTTCAGAGAGGCTAAGTTATAGGAACATAGTCACACAGTAAAGGCTTCAAACTCAGTCAGATTTGACATAAAAACATGACTTGCTGTGCCCCATATATAGTCTTTTGGAAAAACCCTGAGAGTAAATATTACCTCCATTGAAGAAGGAAGCCTTGGGGAGTAGTTGTGGTCCACGTTCTGAGTTACTGACCTTGGGAAGATTGGTAAGCCAGTCTGTGCTTTAGTTTTCTTATCTGTGAAATAAGCATATGATAGCTACCTTATCAGTTATTGTTAGGATTAAATTAAGCAATATGTAGAAAGTACACAGACATACATTAGAAGCTTGGTAACTTCTCTGAGGCAAGGACTTCTAGTTAAAGGTCTCAGATAAAACATTGATGTCCAGTTCTCATGTCTTTGTTTAATAATTAAACATTGTTTTCTGTTGAAAGTCATAATGCTGGGCCTAGCTTGTCAGCTTTATCACCGGAAATTGCAATAAGAATTTTAGCTCCTTGAAAATCTTGTGGAAGGTGAGTTTGGGCTATTTGATCTGGTGAGATGAGTGATTAATTTTTTGATTTAAAACAAAAAAACACAGCCTCAACCTGTTGTCGACCCCAAATGTTTCAGAGTAGAACTGAACTCCAAAGTATTGTTTGTTGTTTGTTTTTTTTTAGCTGTAATCTTTACAGAGGCAAGTTGCTGGGCCTTTTGCCAACCTGTACATATCCTGCTGATGAGGTTTGAACTGTCAACCTTCTAATAAGTAGCTTCATGAACACATTTCTTCATCCAAAGACTCCTTGGATTATTATCATTTTGATGTATTCTAACTGAGGTGCTTTTTAAAAATATGAACATTTTCTTTTAATTTTTTTTTTTCATTTTAGATGTTTATATCAGGGCAGACTTACTGCAGTAACAAATAACTCTCTAATCTCAATGACTTATAAAGCAACAAAGATATCTTTCTTGTTTATGCTACCATGTGTGTGGTAGGTGGGATAAGTACAGCTCAGCTCTGTTTTATCAGATGCCCTGCATGGAACAGTGATGGTCTCTTGGCAGAGGGAAGAGAGCGCTCTGAAGGGATCTTGCTTTGATAATGAAATATCCTTAAATACTCATCTTTGGAGGTGATTTGGGTCTCTCCTACTTAAAGATCATTAACCAGAACTAGTCACACATGTCAGTTTGTAAACAGAGACAGACAGTGTTCTCCTACTATGAGCCCAGAAGGGCAAACCACAATATTTGGAAGAGAGGAAGATTATTCTTAGCAAAATGGATTGACACAGTGACTTCAACAATGACCTTGAGCAAGGTGGAACATTGTGAAGATGATACAGAGCTTCAATTTGTTGTTCCCAGGATTGTTGTGAATTCTAGTTAGTAGCATCCAACAGCAACATTGGTAGCAACCACTGTATTAACTAACTCTGTAAAACAAGATGAATGAATGAACCAAGTTTGCTTATGAATGGACATGGAAAGTTTCCTCCTGTGCGATTTACTGCCTCTGAAAAGCTGCTGGAGGATTAGTTATGGGTTGGTTCTGACTCCACAGCATACCACACAGAATTTTTTTGTGCCATGGGGGGAAAATATGTGTGTTTGTGTATACATATATAAAAAAATTTAAATGTAATATATGTATAAAATTACATAGTATATATATATATATATAGACTGTCATGAAGTATGTATATATGTGTGTGTGTTTATATATATAGTGTATTGTGTGCTTTGGAATGAATACACATATATACACACACAGTGTAGTATTGTTGTATACCGTGAAGTACGGTAACTGGGGCCATGGGGGGTTGGTGTGTCAGAATTAGTGAGGCTGGTTCAGGACAGGGAAGGGTTCAGAGCTGCTGTATATAGGGGTCGCTATGCATCACAGGCGACTCAGCGGCACATAACAACAAATAACAGGTGTGACATCCACTTCCTAAATATCATGCCTCCAGAAACTGTATGAACTTTGACAAATGTTGATAGTTGTAGAAAGTCTTCAGGCCTTTTGTTCATAGGGTCGCTATGAGTTGTGTGCTCGACTTGAAGGCAGTCAAGAACAACAGCCGTGCAGTACATGCTTGGAATGGTGGAGGGACAATGCAGGAGAGGAAGACCTTGGATGAGATGGATTGAGAACAGTGACTGGGGTAATAGGAACAGCTGTGCTGGAGACAGTGAAACTGGATCAGAATCGGACAGAGTTCAGGTCTGTTGTGCATAGGGTCTCTTATGAGTCACAGAGACTTGATGGCACCTAACACATACTGTGTTGTGTTCTGTGTTGTGGAGTCAGAACTAAACCATAGCTGATCCTCCAGCAGATTTTTCAGAGGCAGTAGATGGCATGGGAGGAGATTGCTCATCTTTCTCTTCTGGAGCAGCTGGTTGCTTTGGACTGGGTGCCTTTGGGTTGGCAGTACAATTTCTTTTCACTTACTGGTAATATTTTGAGACTGAAGTTTTACTATTTTCTGATAAAAACAGACAATTTAAAAAAAAAAAAAACTTAATTAAGGTTGGCCTTTTGTTGTTATTAGGTCCTGTCAATTTGAGTATGACTCATAGTGATCCTGTGAACAACAGATCTGAAGCCTGTGCCATCCTAATCATCATCATCTCTGATATACTTGTGCCCATTACTGCAGCTGCTTATGTCAGTCCATATCAAGGGGAGGAGGGAGTGTCTTCCTCTCTTTTTCTGACCCTCCACTTTGCAGCATGATGTCCCATTCCAGGGAATGGACTCTCTTAGCAACATTTCCAAAGTATGAGAGACAAAACTTTGCCATCCATGCCTTCAGGAATACTCTGGCCGCACCTTTTCCAAGTATAGCTGTTCTTTGGGCAGTCCATGGGATATTCAGTACTTTTCTCCAGTGCCGCAACTCAGAGGCATCAATTTTTCTTGTCATCCTTATTCATTGTCCAGCCCTCAGATGCACAGCGATTGAAAAGACTATGGCCTAAGTCAGAAATACTTTAGTCTTCAAACTGAGATCATTGCATTTCAGTATTTTGGAGAGCTCCTGACAGCAGGCTTGTCCAAAGTAAAAGTCTTCTGATTTCTTGACTCTTAGTACCAAGACTGTTGACTGTGGATCCTAGTAAGATGAAATTGTTGACCTTTTGTTTACA